AGATATGCAAATACATAAGAATTGGGTTGTATGTATGTAAATGCCCATTCATTCTATATGATATCATAAAATAAACAGAATTAGCATAAATAAAATTCATAAAAATATCAATTAAATATGGTTGAAAGTCTCAGAGACTAATGTTTTGATAATTTACTCTATATTATACCAAAACAAAACCAGAATTGGCAGAAACATAACAAAAAACATATATAATCTTGAAAAACAGTCTTAAACAGATAAATAAATATTATCTGAAAAAAGGGACTAAAAAAGCAGAAAAAAGAAATTTAAATAAACAAAGAAATTAACATTATAAATCCATTAAAACACAAAATTTACATTTAAAAAATAAAAATAAATAACAGACAAAAATTTAAACATTCAAAGGGTACAAATGCAATATCATATGAAAGTAATGAAGGCCAATTCCACCAAACTCACATACCATTAAATATTTTCCTAACCACTCCCAACCCTAAGGCGGTGTTTGACTGCAACTTGAGTTTGCATTTATCAAACCCTTTGAGATGGAGATGGAGCTCACGAGAGTGAATCCCTTAAATCAGTCCTGCAATCAGATTTAATAAATCCGGATTGGATTCATAGAAGAGACGAATGCGAGGAACAAAGACCAAAAGTGAGAAATCTTGGCTTAATAGAGTGTTGTTGGTGTTTAGCTGGATTTGTCGAAATCCATGCCTATATCCTATTAAAACTATGCTACCAAACACCCCCCTAAAGATCCCCTCTGATACTTTCTATAAACAATCTCAGCTCTCTCGCCTTTCTCTCATGCTCCGGCGACGAAACCTCGCCGTCCGTCTCGCACAAATCAATCATTTTCATTTGCCGGTCAATAGCTTCATGTGATCTCGCAAGTTTACAGGCCCGGAGTGGAGGCGAAGGAGACGACAGATCAATAATCTCAGCTCCAATGTCATGAAGAAACTGGGAGGAACTACTGGGCTGGTGGTGGGTATAGCTCTGTGGTTCTGTGTCAAGGAGCAGGCCTTGAAGCTGGAAATCAACTTTGTTAAGATCAACATTTGAATCCATTTTTGGTTTTTGTTTTCTAGTAATTCTTTTCTTCACCATAGTTTTCTTCTCTCTGAACTCTGCAATTTTTTCAGGGCAGGCGCTGGAAAAGCATTGGAAAAAGAATTTAAAAAGGGTCAATTTGGATACATACCACCCAATCCTTACATATTTATAAATCTAACACTTTGGTATCATAAACTAAATACATGCATAGAGCCAATCAGAATTATTGGTTGTCCGCTTATGCAGAGTTCATACATAATGATTCTTAAAAGTAAAATGTTCAAGGGATGTTTATATACATAGCACTTGAAGCAACTCTTATTTACAAATCTAGCACCCTCTTTCATCCATTTTTCAAATTGACACTCAAATATCAAAATTCAAGATAAAATCCCAAAACATATTTTTTATTTTTTATCAAATTCTCAATGATTTGATCGTGACAAGCATAAATACATCGGTTGATTAGTTCAAAAATATCACATGGGTGATAGATTTTGTAAATAACAATATTTCGGGTGCTATTATGTGATTATCCCAAAGTTCAAATAGTCCCCTGATTACTTATATGGGGTCATTAATCCTAAAATCAATAAAAGTGTTAAATTAGTCCTCAGAATCCTTTAATATGAGCTAAAATAATCCTCAGAGAGGAATATGTTGGCACCCATTAAAAAAAATTAAGGGCTAAATTGAAACTTTTATAAACTCTGGGACAAAGATGACCGATCTCCCGACAAAGAATTAGTGGGCCATTTGAACACATTTCTCGTAATTCTTAAGAGTGAAAAAAACATTTGTAACACAAAAATAGCTCTAACTAATAGAGTATGCACTGAAAGGAATAAAATGGAAGGGTAGAATGAACTGGAATGGATCAGAAATGGTTATTGGAAGCTAAGAAATGTTGTTATGTAATGTACAGGATTATTTCTAATAGTTGGCCTCCTCTTTAGGAAGTTCTCTAGACTTTGAAACTATTTAGGGGCATTTACATACAAACACCCAATTCCTATGTATTTACACATATAACACCTAAACTTTATTTTTACATTTATATCACCCAAATCTTTCATATCACACAAAAAACACCCCTAACTTTCAAGAGTGAACTACACCTTTTCAAGCAAAGATAAAGCTGTCAAATATGAAAAAATTGAAGAAATTGAAGTTTAGATGTCAGATAGGTAAACACATAACAATTAATTGGTATATATGTAAATATTACAACTTTTTTTTATTATCAGCAGTTGCTGGAATAGTACTACAGTTACCTTTCAATTAGATCAGCAGAGACAATAGATGTCTGAAGTCCATACATATCTTGCCAAGAAACTTCAAAGCATTCTCTTCCTTGTAATTTCCGTTGCTTAACAATTGCAGTTACAGGGCAGGGCACTGGCATCTACCAACAATAACAACATACTGAAAAACTAAGAATTAAAAAGAGGCATTTACATGCATATGACCCAATTCCTGCATGTTTATATATCTAACACCGAAATTTTACGTATGTTTATATATCTAACACCGAAATTTTACGTTTTACATTTGTAGCACATTTGCCCAAATGTTTCATATCACGTAAACAATACCACCATTTTGACTCCTAAAAAGTGAATTACACCTTTTTCATGCATACGTAAGGAGCCAAGCATGGAAAAATTAAATTCTGGATGTCAGATATGTAAATATATAGGAATTGAGTGCTATGTATGTAAACATTCCTAAATTAATTTAATGTCAAATGAAGAAGTATCATGAATCTGTGCCTTGTGCCATGGAATATTTGCTCCAGGTTCAGATGGCGTGTTCCGCAGATTCGCAAACCGTCTGAGATCTCTCTCGGCAATCTTAGGAAGGATATATTCATCTGAAAGAGCAGAAAAAAACAGAATGAAGCATCTTATGCGAGCACATAAATCGCAATAATGTGCCCACAAATCTTTATATTATGTTTTCTGCACAAAATGGTGACACAAAAGCACATTAAAAAAAAAAAAAAAACCCATATTTCAGAAAATGAACAAATGGTTGTATGGGAGAATGTAAAATAAAGAGATCACCAGTTTTCTCAGGGGTCCATCCAAATGATATAGCACAAATTTGTTGAAGCCTTCCCCTTTGAAAAGGATGTGTTGTGCATGCACTGCAAACATCAATTGAAAGCTAAGAGGTTATTTGGGATAACTTTTATTTTTTGTTTTTCATTTTTTTTGTTGGTATTTTGTTTTATTTGTGTTTTGATTTGAATTAGAACATGTTTGATCGAGATAATTATTTTTAAAAAATCTTTGAGTATTTTTAAAAATAAGTTGAAAGCATATAAAAAACAAACATGTCTTTAAAAAAAAAATAGAAACAAACATAGTGTCAAAAAGGGCCTAAATTAATGTGAGAATTCAATTTAAAACTTGCAAAACTCATGAAGGAAAAAACAATCCATAGACCAATGAGCCAAAATAAATTTTATTTAGATTGAGACAACATATGATATTATTGTAATAATCATGCCAAAAATAAACGCTGATAATAATTATGAGTAGATTGTTTAGAGAGAGAAGAGAGACATTCAAGTTGGATTAAACTTAATGTGAATAAAATAGCTAGTTGCATTAAAATATTGCAATCGAGCTCAAATGGTGAGGTATAAATGATTATTAAAGAAAAAGAAGTATGCTTCTAAAAAGTGGCAAAAAAAAAAAAAAATCTTACTCTTCTAGGGCTTACAATCTTCATAAGTAAGAAGGCTTGCAAAATGAGTAATAACTAATAAGTGAAAAAAAGAAATTTTTATTTATATTATTAAGCTAAGCACTGAGGAGTGGAAAAATGGGGTAGATCTAGAGATTTAGATAAAATTAAAAGTATTTAACACAAAGGGAAAACATCAGTGCAAGGAAATACTATGAAAAATTATCAAACTAGATTTTTAAGGGAAGAATCCTTTAGAAGAGCATAATGAATAATATCATATACAAAGTGGATATTAAATTATTAACAAAAATTATTTTGATACCAATTTTTGTAAAAAAAGAGAAGTTCATGAATAAAAAAAATTACAAGGGCAATTAAATTTATGAACGAAATTATGAGAGAGGGTAATACAGTATAGATTTAGAAAATCACATCAGTTTAGATAATCGAATTGATATTATTTCAAATTGATCAATCACAGAGATCATTTTGTGTTAATATAATTCAATAAAAAGAAAATAAATATCTACACGTGATTTCTATTAGTTATGAGAGGGGATGTAAATGAGAACAAGAGTAACCACTATATAAGAACTAAAAAAAAAATGTGAGTATGTTGGAGTTATTAAATAAAAATATGATGAATTACTTAATAACATTAAAAATATATATCATAAGATCAAAATTATTTCCAAAAACAGTAAAATTTATCCAGAATTACCATTTAATCGATATATTTTTGTATTGATCATAAATATATATACAAATGATATATAAAACAAAGAATCTTCGTACACATTTTTTGTAGATACATGGTTATAGTGGAGCTCATTGTTGAAAAAATTTAAAACTCGTAACGTTGTGGCAAATATTTAGAAGGTTAGGGGCTTAAGATTAAAAAAATAAAAACTAAATATCACATACACTTTTAGTAAATGTAAATTTAATAATTATGAGTCAATATTTTTTGAAAATTAGGAATGCACAAGTTTCATAATTTTTTAAGCATCTTGGATTTCTTAGTTTCAAGCTAGTTTTTTAAACTAGTGATGAGCATAAGAATTACAATGTAATAATAAAATATTATAGAGACCTAAAATGAACATTTGCATAAGAATTATTAAACCACATTAAAATATGATTATATTTATTATATTTTTTGAATTGACAGTTACGAAATGAAGAAATCGTTGATAGGCAAGCATCATAGAAAATGAAAACTATGTAAGGCTATTGATTGAGAAATAATTATATAAAAGTAATATTGGAATCAAATTTATTGAAAATAAGAAAATAGAAATTATTGTTGGAAAGTTTAGGCACGTCAAAGGATAGAAAAATGCAAAGTAAACAACTAAATAAAATTAGTATAAAAGATGGAATAGGTAAACGGATTGACTAATACAAAAGATAAAATATGGGTAAGAAAGATTTGCCTCAAACAACATTCAACAAGAACGACACCAACTCATAAATGATAATGATGACTGCAATGTTAGGCTGGTAAAAGATATTAAATGGTTGCAATTTCTTAAAGATAACAATAAAAGGGAATATTCTCTGCATATCTAATAAATAAAGGCTTTCATATATTAATGCAACACAATATAACTAATACATAATATCAACATTTTTAAAATATCCATGCACAGTTGTGAAACCATGCAACAAAAAAGTAAGAGATCACATGCAATGCTTATGCAACAATGGTTGTACCAAACATAAAATATTATTCAAATACTTTAATAATCCTCCCCTTGACTCAATATCACAACAATAAATTTGAATCTCCAATATGACTCCTCAACATGCATGCACTCTAAGGTTCCAAAATCCTAAAAGCTTGAGCAATGCACAACCTCAATAAGTTCAAATGAATCTATACTAAACACTTACAAGAATTCTTTAAAGCACCTATATTGCACATCAACATGCCACGCAATTTTTGTACCTCCGAAGTAGCTATCTCATCACTTTGAATGTCACAATTGTATGATTTCACATTATGGCCAACTATGAAACATGTGACCAATCTATATGATAATTTACATAAGTCGACCCATCAACAAGTGCATGACTATGTTCCACAATCTCTTGCAACCAAGAAATTAAACTTTTCAAGTTCATCAAATCATGATAATGGAACAGAAATAGAGTGAAATGAAGCAACAACATTCAAACTTCTACCATACAAAACATAAAATCTAATAATTCTATTCATCTCCAGTATGAACAAAGCGCGTTTAGAGGTGTGCATTATTTAGTTAAAATAAATAAATAATTTATAAGAAAAACAAATCAAAACAAAATGTTTTAAATAATTTGATTCATTTTTTTATCAGTTGTTCTATTTTCTTTTTAGATTATTAAGTATTTATTTTTTTATTATAAGACTGATTCCCGACTTAAAATAATCATTAAATTGAAATGTCAACTAAGAACACAACCCAAGTTGACAAACCCGCTTATTCATTCATTCATTTGGGGAGGCAAATAAATATTCATTTCTAAAATGTTGATGCAATGCTAACACAGAAAGCGGGAGAATCAGCATGCAGCAAGCAAGCAACAAAAAATGAATCCAAGTTACAAACAACGTGCAGTCTTGTGCAGTGTGGATACAAGGAATTGCATAGGTCTACAAGAGCATGATGGATTTACACTCAAAAGCCCTAAGCTAAGTTCCACAAATCTTTCCTACCTCTTCTTAGAGCAATTGGTGGCATATTCGCCACTTATGGCTTCCTGCTGCTCAAAATTGAAGAAGAGATGTGGATGGGGAATAGCTAAAAGATTAAAGTTTGTACAAAGTGACTAGATGCACTCTTGTTCCATGGATACTCTTGCTTAAGAAAGATTTACTCTCTCCAAGCCAAGATTTTTATTGAAATTTTCTCATATTTGGAGAGATGGAAATGGTAATACTGATTGGCTTTCCAATTAAGAGTGAATACCTATTTTTCTTAGAAAGAATAGATCACTTGCATGCTTCTCACCACTAATAATACTCATCCTCCACTTTGAGTTTCATTCATGTGGAGGACGGGGGAATTTCAAACCGTAAAATTAGAGATTTATTTCCAATTTTAACTCTTCTTGTTTTAGGGGCTTAAATAATAATATTTTCTATGTTCTATTTTACAATCATTTTAGAATTTTCTCGAATGGCATTAAGCTATTTTACCTCACTTAATTTTTTTTTCGTTTATTCCAGTAACTTTCGGCAGTCCGTTATTTGTCTTTATTTTAAGATGATTTCATCCGCTTGGAAAATGACGAGTCTTCTTGATTAACTTTGGTTTATCCATAACCAAACCAAAACAGACAAATTAAATTGCTATTCTGTTCGGTCTTGGTTTGATTTTATCTATAGAAATCTATAACCAATCAATTTAACCATTCCATATATCAAATCATCCAAACTGACAGAGCGTGTAGTTACAAATCTTAATGACATGTGCATCTCCATAAAATCCACACTTTGTATCATTTGGACCATATGTATACTCAATATAATATCATAAAAAATAGCACATTTGCACGCTTCATTGTGACGCGGGGCTCTGATGGGGCTTGACCAACCCAAGTCCCTATGGGGGCTGAAACTGTGCCCCCTACCCCGAGCAAATTTACACACTTCATTGTGACGCGGGACTCTGAAGGGGCCTAACTAGCTCAAACAAAAAACCAGTTTAACCAAACTAAATTGCTATTTTGTTCAGTCTTGGTTTGATTTGATCTATAGAAATCTAAAGTCAATCAGTTTAACCATTCCATAAATCAAATCATCCAAACTGATAGAACGCACACCTGTGCACATATTTACAAATCTTAATGACGTTCATCTCCATAAAATCCGCACTTTGTATAATTTAGATCATATGTATCCTCAATATAATATCCTAAAAAACGACAAAATTGCACGCTTCATTGTGACGCGGTGCTCTGAAGGAGCCTGACCAGCCCAGGTCTCTGTGGGGGCTGAAACCGTGCCCATTGCCCCCAGCAAATTTGCACGCTTCATAGTAACGCGGGGCACTGAAGGGGACTGACCAGCTCAAACAAAAACCAGTCTAGCCTCCCTGCTGGACAGGTGTGGCCAGGTCCCTGTGGGGGCTGAAACTATGCCTCTCCCCCCCCCCCCCCCCCCCCCCTCGGGAAAGGACGGCCAAAATGACGAGTCTTCTTGATTAAGTTTGGTTTATCCATAACCAAACCAGAACAGACAAATTAAATTGCTATTCTGTTCGGTCTTGGTTTGATTTTATCTATAGAAATCTATAACCAATCAATTTAACCATTCCATATATCAAATCATCCAAACTGACAGAGCGTGTAGTTACAAATCTTAATGACATGTGCATCTCCATAAAATCCACACTTTGTATCATTTGGACCATATGTATACTCAATATAATATCATAAAAAATAGCACATTTGCACGCTTCATTG